AATTCTATAAGTAGTTGTATAGTGTTTTATTTACATTGAAAGTGAGTATTTGAAGGTTTCCACTTCACTTTAGGTATATAAAGTAATTGATTAGGTTGAAATAACTTATTACTTTCAAACCTTCATATTACTCTTTGGTATATCAAGATGTACTGGCATTGTTATATCAAGATGTACTGGCATTCTCACCTAGCCTTTTGGTTCCACATACAGATGATGAGAAATCTGCTGCTGGACGAGGGGGATCTTATTCACATTGAGTCTGTGTCACTCCCTGTGGCTACATTCTCCAAGTTCGAGCCTCAGAATGTGGAGTTCCTTGATATCACAAATCCCAAAGCTGTTTTGGAAAATGCGCTTCGAAACTTTGCCTGTCTAACAACTGATGATGTTATCGCCATTAATTACAATGATAGAATATATGAAATGCGTGTCCTAGAGGTCAAGCCGGGGAGTGCTGTCAGCATCATTGAGTGCGATATGAATGTGGAGTTTGCTGCCCCAGTGGGCTACCAGGAGCCAGAGAGAATGGACAGTGCAGCAGCCTTGCCAGAGGATACTGAAGAGGAGATGCTACCAGAACCCACAGGCTTCTACTCCTTCCAAGGCTCAGGTAACAGACTAGATGGGAAAAAGAAGAACCTGCAACTTCCCCAAGAAGAACTTCTTAAAAAATTGCCCCGTCAGCGTGGGATTCCAGATTATGATTATGAAATAGGTTTTATTAAGTTCTGGAGAAAGTTACCTAAAGTGAACAATACTGAAAATAAACCAGAAGAGCCTGATGAATTTGAGTCTTTTGCCGGAGAGGGTACATCTCTGCGACAAGCAAAGTCTAGAAAGTAAACTTTTTTATATATATTTATTCCTCTAGCTAATTTTAACACATTTTCTCCAAAGAATCGGTTTTGTAAACCAACTTTGTATACCTGCAGATATTTTTTGAACCAGTGAGATGAATAATTAACTTAACTTCTAAACTCTGTCCCTTTTCCTTCAGACCAATCTGTTATGAAGTCACACATACCTAGTGATAACCCTGCACAAAATTTTGGAAATAGATACAAGAAAGCTTTTATAATGGTTCATGTAGAAATAAATTGTTTATGTGTATATGTGATTTTGATTTACTTTGGCATACACTAGTGTTGTTATTTTTTTATACAATGCAAGATAATGAGGTAAAGTTGATTTTTTTTCTTACTGAAGTTCTGTACATACATTTGTTATCAATGTGTTATTGTTTACCATGAAAAGGATAGATAAAGGAAGTGTTTCACATAAGAAAATAGTGTATTATTAATATAACAAACTTAGATAGGAAAAGTGCCTGTCCCTTGATCATATTTATGATATGAGATGAATATTTAAGATATATCTTGAAAAAATATAATGAGCATTCATCAAGTAGATAAAATACAAGCAAGTATTTTAACTTATTTATTTTTTGTTTTTATCAAGTATTATATAAACTATAAATTCAACATTTAACAAAATAAATATGGTTGGACATATGTAATTCTTTCTAAGACTTTAGACAATGTTGTTTATGAGGGAACAGATGAATTTTGTATTAAAATCCATAGATTTTTAAAAATTAATATAAAGAACGTGCATAAAACATTAAAATTACACTTTTTGACATAAATGTTCTTATGCATCTTCAAATTACTAACACTCAAACAGGCTTGCCTTCAGAATCAGTTGTGTGTATGATCATCAGAAAAATTATATTATCTTTCCACATCTACATATATTTAAAAAAAAAAATCATAGATGTCACAGACAGCCAATTATGGCATGATTAGTGTTACATTTGTGGTCAACTGAATGAACAGAAGGTTGCAACATTAGTTTCTTTTGATGTTGAAGTGACAAAAGATGCTTTTTGAATACATCCGTGCAATGAAATAGAATGGCTCAATCTGACATAAAAGATGCCCCCAATGGTACAAGCGATGCTGCAGCAAAGGCCAACAAACACGTGGACAAGATCTGTTTGTAGATCTCTCCCCGGGGAATTGTTCCATTTAGATTCGATCCAAGCTCTGCGCTTCATTTTGTAAGATTATACCAATGTTAGACCATGGAATACTCGAAAATAAACTAATGGCTTTTGCCAGAGCGCCTAGTGTAGCGTTACCGGCGATCGCAGAATACTGTTTTATTATTGGCGAATAATGTTTCAAGTTTAGATTATTGTTTTTCTACGTCATTATTTTATCAATTCAGACTTTTTCACTTGAAATATTTCCTAGTTCATTGAATGGTAGGTATATTCTTCATATCGATAGACGAAGAGCATAAACGCGAGATAAATTGTTTGTGTTCTGATTTATATAAAAAAAAAAACTTTTTCATCCCCGTATTTTCCTTTATCTTCTTTCGTTTGTAGCGAATTTCAATTGCTTTAAACATATTGCTATGGAAATTAGAGAGAGAAACCGTAAAAAAATCCTTTGATAAAATAGCGGAGTTCTAGGCCAACGCCTGCATTCGAAGGCGGTGCCGGACGACGCTGTTGTCATGGTGACGGTACGCCGCTTGACTTGGCAAGCAGAAATCACGCCTTCTAAAGGGTAGCTTGAGAAAGCAAGACAGATTTTTGAGATGGCAAGAAAAGTCTTGAGATTCTAGGCAAGATATTTCCAGGCTTTAAACGCCTTTACTCCCTACGTAAAAGGCTATAGATTCCTCCCACTTTGGAGTGGTGGATAGTGATAGTAGTGTGTACGGCTTGAAAGAGTGCAACATAAGTAAATGAACACAAGCTACGATAGTCTGGGAGCAAGCGCTGAAGCGGAGGCGTGTCCCGGCCATCGAAGGGCCGAGGTGAGGGTCTTGACTGTACGGGGCGCGATCTGTATAGTACTTCCTCGGGCGCGAAGTGGCCCTAGGAAGTACCAGACAAACAACTACGGAATAGATGTTTCTTCTCTGGACGCGTGTCATGGGGAGCGCAAAGAGAGGCCACCTCCCCCTATTGTTCCAACTGCCTATGGCTATTACCTCACCATAAGGTCTATATACTCCTTGCCTCACCATACCTTATGTTTGATGTTTCTACATCTCCCAGTATCTCCTCCTCCTCCCACTTCTGCCCTTCCCTTTCTCAGTTAAATTCGTTTGTCTTTCATTCTGAATCCAGACACACCAATTTCCACCATTTTCCAGACACTCCAATCTTTACTTCCCAGGTAACTATCCATCCTCCTCCTCGCCTAGTTCACCACAAAAGAAAAGTTAAATGTTCCACCCATCTGCATCCTCTCCTACACCAACCTCTCCCTCCGCCCCTCAAACGTCTGTCCCCTCTTCTCCCCCTCATAAGAAATCCTTTCGTTCCTCAGGCCTCTCCAACCAAACTCCGTATCAGAAAGTCTGGAAGACAAACCCTGAAATCCCCATTCTCCTTTTGCTAATCCCTAACTTAGTCCTACTCACAATTTATTTCTACATTTACCCCTTGCAGAATACCACACTTCTTCCTTTGACAACTTTGATCCGTTAACCTGCTATAGGACTTATGGCGTGTAGCACAACTACTCATCAAGTAAATTCCTTCTTTGCCCTTTTCACTATTACACCCATAGTGCTATATGACCCTTGATGTCGAGCACATTTATTTTGTCTTTTAACCATTAACCATGAAAAAAGGCATATATCCCTACACTGATTTTGTCTCCTGTCCCCACTTTCCCACAAAAGTAATCCACTGACTTGATAGTGATGATGATGTTAATGGTACTATATTTTAGTCTGTTGTGACAATTAAGAATTTAGAGATTTTAGCTTGCCTGCATTCAGTTACGAGCTGCTAGTGACAATCAGGTACATCACCTCTCTTTTCTTTCACCAGCCACCAGATGCACATTAGAAATCCTCCATTTAATCTAATTGCCCTTAATAGGAGCCCTTTTCCCATTTTGCCATTCTCTGCCGGACTTCATTCACTTACCCTCCTATCCTTTACAATACCATACTATCTCAAAGAACAGTATGACGTCTGACATAGAGCACATCTAATAATTAACTTATTTACTCACCCTTCTCTTTATCCTTCTTTGAATACTAAACCGCCCTATAGTGCTAAATGACCTGTAATGTCTAGCATATATTCACTTATTAATAATTAACCATGAACCAAAGCTCTGAAAAAAAAACTAATATGAACCTAATGCTGGATAATAAATACACTGATTTTTATCAATATTTTATTTAGATCACTTCGACAAAATATATATATATATATATATATATATATATATATATATATATATATATATATATATATATTTAATTACATATATGCAACTATCCTAGTATTTCATCCGGAAAAAATAGCATTCAAAGGATCAAAATGATGTGACAATGAATAAATATCTATGTTGGTCGAAACTAATGAAAGCAATGATCCAGTGATATGATGTAGGCATATTATTTAAATACTACTTGGTTTTATCTGCCATCAAACATCTCCACATAATCAAAGCATAAAGTAAGAACAGAATGTACAACTAAACTGCTGAATGTCAATCAAGTAATTTCCCAGCTACCTTTGACTCTTTCAGGTTACAGAAAGTTCAAGAGTATCAGTAGTAACAGTAATATGCCAAGTGATTTTAATTACTAGCCATATTCTTACTACCTGCAAGCATTTATTTCATGTAACCCAATTCTTCCCAAGCTACCATAACTCCTGCCAAAGTAATACCTGAGACACTAAATTTCACACAAACCATTTAAACACTCAAGTTTTAAAGATAGTAGCACCAGTTTTCATTTATCTTAATAAGTATTTGGCCCCTCATTAGCACCATTGGACACTTGACACTTGTACCTTAAGTTAGAAATGCATAATATTCAGTTACTATGTAACAAGAACGAACAAAGACTTTCCCATACACATAAAAAATATCAAGAGGAAATTCTGAAACCTGTTCCTGAATTCAGATATGTGAGATAATTCACACTGAAAATCACGTAAAATCTTATTCCTTACAATAAGAAATAAAATAGATGTAATTGCAGTGCATCTCATAACTAGTGCAATAAGTTTGTAATTCTGGTATAGAAATTGATAAACTAGCTGCTGTCACTGGTTTTGAAATTTCACATTCTGTCAGTTAGCTGCTGCCACTGGTCTCGAAATTACCAATGTGTTTTCAGTATTTGGAAGATAAAACCGCATATTCTAATTTAAATGGCATGACGCGGAAGTGGCACATTCAATGCCGTAGCCACAAAGCTGAGAGCAGCGCTAGAACCACACCAGGAAGAGCAGCGGTTGCTGACCCACCAGCAGTAGTTGTTTCAGTGTACATGTCAGTAGTAAATCCAGTATTCATGGAAGTACCAGTAGTACTCTGACTTTTGCAATGGTCTTGATTAGCTCCGATACATGCTGCATATGCCATGGCGTGGGCAATGTAGTTCTGCTCGTGAAGAGTGTGGAACAGGTGAGCCATAGGACCTGTTGGAAGTATTTTCACCAGGATTAGTAACAAATACCATAGAATGAACTATCATTTATACATTTATGTTATGTTAGAGGTATCATTTCAGTATTTACTTTGTTTTTTACAGGACCTCTAAACGTTGCGAAATTTGAAAACTTCCCGCGCAATAAAGGCGTAGTATAAATTTTGCTAACTTTCCGTGTGTACACATGATTATCATTATTTTTCTTTTTATAAGCAATATACATACCGTTAGCATAAATAGCAACGTCATCACCACCGTGGGTCTCAGAGTTCCTGGGTACGGCCGCGAGCTGAGTGTAGTCCCATCCTCTGGCTACTTCCTGTGAGATATTCCAGCGGGACACCAGGTACCCGCCCTCACCCTCGTCCTTGACGGTGGTGTAGTTGTAGCCGGGGCCGTTGGCGTACATGAGTGTGGTGTAGGGCAGGCCGTCGTCACCCAGGGCAGCGAGGCCTGGGGGTGGGGGTTACGTGCTCACTCAACAGTCGGAAAGTGTGTCTTCGAGTTAAAGTTACTTTTATCGGATGCAATGTATGTACATTCAGCTATTGATATGCATGTGACTTACTGACTGACTGACTGATTCTCTCTCTCTCTCTCTCTCTCTCTCTCTCTCTCTCTCTCTCTCT